AACTCACGATAAAATACTTAACGAATTTATTTTCTCACTTTATACACAATTACTAACTTATAACACACAACAAACTAACTATTTATAAGATTCCTTCACCAAATTGTCCGATTTTCAATTTCCACACGGTATATTCAAATTTCAAAAACTGTCTCAGTTGTCGATGGCTCCGGCTTATATACTCTATTGACTGCTTCTCGAAATTTCCCCAATTCTCGGAAAGCGTACTTCTTCATACCAGACAATTCCATTGTCTGATCCCTTACTTCTCGACTTGACTAAATGATGGCGCCTGAAAAAGTCTTTTAATTTCTGGCGGATACGTTGCGGTTGTGCAGGCAACCAGTAATACATTTTTAATTTCTGGCGGATACGCCATTTTTCTTGACAATATGTTGACCCTATTTTAATAAAAATAAGTATTAATGAATAATATTCCAATTATTTTTAATACTAAAGATATTTCGTTTTTATTTTTAATTATTATTTTTTTTATTTACTATTTCTACTGAAAAGTTTAGATTCAATTAGACCACCAATCAGAACCCAGTTGAAGAGGATCGGGCCAGCTCATAATCCCCTGCAACCAACGATCCTCAATGATCATTATCGAAGCCAAACATTAATTAATTAATATGGGTTGCAGCATTGTAACCCTGTGCTTTTACTGATACGTGTTACTAAAAGTATAAGAACATTTAGTTCTAATTTTTTATACCTTCCTGTAAAATTTAAAATTAATTAAAACTGAAACTTTTGTTAAAACTGGAGATGTTTTTTTTATAGTCTTAAATATTAAATATCAATTTACTAATAATAGCCAACTTCATGAAAGACTGGTATGGTTTTTCATAATTCCTTGTACGAAATATAGTGTTAGTTGTATGCAGTAATTTGTTTGTAACAGGTTTTTTTTACCAAAGTTATTTTTTTTACCAAAGAACTTTAGTTTTTATCAATATGCTTCGAACATTTTATTAAACTATCGCAGTTGTCTTTAAAACAAAATATAGAAATATTAGAAATATTGATGATATTCTGATCCTCTTTGTTTAGCAAGTACTTAGTCATATTTAATTCTTGGTATTTTTAATTAAAAAGAAAATTTTATCCTGTAAACATACAGGGTGCAATTTGAGTGTTTTTGCTTGAACTCTGTTGTGGTTAAATAGGAAATGATATTTACTCAATTGTTTTTAATAAGAAATTATTGAGTTTTGATAAACTATATACAGCAGTCAAATTTGCAACATTCCATGAAAGCTGGAGGCAATGAATTGATATCTGTACCTAACTGCTATTCATAAGTAATAAACATAAATTATTATTTTGTTTTTTTCTGATACTTTAGTGTTGATGAACACTACAGATTGGAAATTATATTTTAATTTAATTAAATTCGATTTTTTTTAAATGCATTAAGAATTTTGTTAAATAAATAGTACAGAGTGAATAATGGTGTGATGACTTGAAAGGATACATATGATGGTTGAAATCAAGTTCCAACTATATAAGTAGTAGGTAGTTGCTCAATTTGTTTCTATATAAAAAAAACAGATACTTCATATTCTTCTAAACTTCATATTCCAAATCGCTCAGCAAACTTATCATCTGTAAATTACTCTACTCGGCTGTGTACCAAAAGAGACACCTTGCTCTCTAGGGTTCTAGAATCTTGATAATATCTCCCAATTCATTTATAATTTTATAATTCATGAAGCACTTTAAATATGTCTTCCATGTCACTAAAACAGATTTCAATAAAAGAGATTAGCGAATAAATCATGGAACAAAATAATAATCATTCAAAAAGTGAAATCATATACTGTTTCCAAAGAGAACATTCAGAATAAACATTTTTTTTTAGGAAGTAGAATGTTGTGAGGACATTGCATTCAATGCTAATTTATTTTATTTTTGTTGCAAAACAGTCCGATTTCTTATATTGATAAACTTTATTTTTTTTAATTGCTATTGTCTGAAGTTACAGCTTTTGGTATTTCAAACTTCCTATTTCTTTTTTTTTATTTTTTTTTTGAGGCCGAACAAAAGTAATTATTTAAACTTTTTATTCCTCCGACACTCTATCTTCTGGTAAAATCCTGAAGGCTTTACTAAAACCATGACATAAAATATAATCAACACAACACGAAATTAATTAAATTGTTTCTTTTAAACTCCTCTGTATAAATTGTTAAACATACAAAGCAATTTTTTGTGCATACTAATTTCTTTTTACAAATCCAAACAAATATTGTGTTATGTAAAAAACTCTGTGTGTTTATCGACCTGTGTACGAACATTTTCTGTTATCAATTATCACCATATTTTTTTTTGAAACATATTGTGTAACTCCTTTTATTTTTATTAACAGACTATTTTCCAAGACCGTCCTGAAAATAATAATTAGTCCTTAATTATTTTAAAAAGAACGTTATATCTTTATAAGAAACAGAGAAATAATTTTTGAATCATAAACTTTATTAAAACAATAATTATTTTTAGACTATATCGGTCTATAATGTTTGTAGAGATTTATTTTTGCGATTATTTGTTCACAGTGTAAATTTAAACCTTGGTGATATTTTAAACCTTCATATTGTTTAATTTTATTCACTAGAAATGAATAGCCTTTACAAAATCAATTTAAATAATTTAGACATTAAACATTTGATTTTGCTTGTATCAAATTTGCAAAGAGATTATGCAAAAGATGCTTGTTTTTAATTTTAGTTAAAACATTTTTTTGTTATACAGGCTGCCCTATATTGATATCACTATCATTAATTGATCTGAACCTTTTATTTTATTTGATTCTTTTACAAATTCAATTTATTGGAATATTAATTTCAATAACGTCTTTAAAATCATAAACAAGCAACTAAAAATTTTATATTCGTACTATGAAACATAAATTAACAATTAATTGATATCTGTGTACTTATCTTATTCGAATGTATCCTCTGAAGCTATATTTTCTCACTGCTTTAGTGTTTATGTCAACATGGTCAATCAAAAGACTTATTTTAGCAAAAATGACTTGCAGTTTGCACCTTGCACATCGTAACAGCCTTGTCTTTTCCCATTTTTGAAGTAGGAGTGGATAAGCCAATTTCCAAATGTTCCTGTATGTATCCTTTTTATTCACTAACACTGCTGGACTTGTTGCTTTATGGCTTTATGTCCTTTTCCAGCAACTTAACTTATGGATTCACACACAACATGGCATATTGGCACTTTTTAAACTCTTGTGGTACTTCTAGTAGTTCTATCCCGCTTCTGATATGTAAACAATAGATCTTGTATTTTCAAATAAAACACTGGATTTCCCTCATAACTTCTTTATTACATTTTAGTACTTAGGATTACGACACAAACATGTGTATCGTGCGAGCGCACGGTACCGACTGACTGCGGCGGGCGCCTCACTCACCATCTTATCTCCCGTAACATTCTATCGCCTCTGTCATAAAAACCATGCATTATGAATAATACAATATGACATATACATAAACCATAATTTGTTAATCATAACAATACACTATATAAACAAGGTACTCATAAAAATCATAACATAGCTTTTAAAAAAATCATTTAGAATATATTTCTCAATACTGAGTGAAATTAATACTCAGATATGAGTACTAATCAAGTTAAGTGTAACACAAATTTCAGTAAAAAAAGTCACTCAATAAAAGCTGTACTTGAACTCAACACTTAGTGAGTTCACTCATTTTAAAGTGAATAAATTATCAAAATCCTACTCAAGGTGAACCATAATGAGTAAAAAATGAGTCTTTCGTCCAATTCCGATTGAGCGAAAACACTCAGTCCTTTTCACTCTGAAAATTGAAGATTCACTCAGTTCTGTAGAGTGGAAATTTCACTCAATCGAGTATGGACAGAAATTGAGAAAGTAATGAGTGAAATTTCACTCGTTTTTTTACAGTGTAGTGAGGCATCTCGATGCGATGCTCGCCAAGATGCTAGCCGCGCTGCTCGCCAGAATGCTTACCGCGATGCATCCTACGCGCACTGTTTTAAAACGGCGAGTAAGTGCGCGTAGGATGCATCGCGACTATCGTACAAACATAGTGCGGAGCATTTCATCTCGATGCGATGCGCGCCATTCACCTCGCCATCCGGCGATGCTGAATCAAGCATGTACAAATTTATGCGTCAAAACATACTGGAGCCTCGCACCTCGCCACGCACCTAGATGTTCAGCGCGATGCTTCCTAGGAAACAAAATTTTTGTTTTTTGCGAGAAGCGGACGCGGATGCCTGAAACTTTACATTTGATTGGTCGGTTTAGGATCACAATTCGTTGAGCATATGTCGAACTAGAGTCGAGTGGAATAAAATGTTCACAATACTAATATTTAATTTATCACCAACCATGTAATAACCTTGATTCTACAGGGTACAGTTCTAATAATAAAAAGCTTATGAATTTTGTAGCCCAGACATAAAGTATGTATTAGGACGTATTTGAGGAAAATATTTGAACTTCTAAAGGGTGGCTCAAAAAAATGAGTGGATCGCGAATATTTTTTTAAACGGAACACCTATATACAGAGTGGCGCAACTCATTCGCCTCGGTTGATTATACGAAAACGGAAATATGTAGAAACAAAATATTTTATGGGCATATGTGGGAAGACCATGTGCATAATTTAAAATTATTTTAAAATATACAGGGTATGTCAGAACTAAGATTTACACCAAAATTATGTTTTTTCTTATGGAACACCCGGTATTTTATTTCATATTTGCACTGAGAGAAAAAACATTGTAAAATCAAAAATAAGGCTAATGAATCAAATAAAATCAAACATGTTTTGGCCTCATTAATTGTCATAATTGAATTAATAAGATATCTATTAATTTTATGCATATCCTCGTATATATAAAACATACATGATCATTGTCATTGTTAGTGGTATATCAGATTTAGAATAAAAATGCTGCCTATTTGATTTAAAGAAATATACTGTAAACACGCCTTTATTCAACTAATTAAAAACAATTTAAACGCCTAATAATAGTAAAAATATCACCAGTCCGCCAAAATGATTCGTCCCCCGCCGACGCCGATAGATAGCTTCTCCCGCCCGCCAGCTGACTGGTATCCCACCATCGCCTCCCGCGCCGATCGTTCCGGAGCTTGCAGCGTTGCCGATGCTACTTCGCCGTGCCCGTCGCCACGTTGCCATTTTCCTTCGCCTCGGAAAAATCACTGGTTACATTCGGCCATCCTGAAAAAGATTAATGCCCTCATTAATTTAACTCTCCAATAAATCAATCAGATTTTGGCGATCTACGCCAACGCCAACGCCATCGCCATCACTGTCATCATGCTCACTTTAATAGCCTCGCCATGCTACTATAATATCGCCTTAAAGAATCAACCGCCACAACAGCCTTAAATGCTTTATAACCCCTTACGCCTTTTACCGCCTTTATGACATATCTGTCATTTCCTAACGCCTTCGCCATTTTATACGGACCATCGAACTTGTTAATTATTTTCGGATTTACACCTTTTTCCCCTGATCAAGTTCCAGCCTGTCGCCATAACACCAAATCACCCACCTTATAGGTATCGCCTACCTGGGAGGTGCCGCCTGCAGTTGCAACTTTACGCCTTCGATCGAATACCACCTTCATTTTACGCCCCGCCTTTGTCAGGTTTCACTTGCTTTCTGTCGCCGTGAAAGAAGTTTAGACTTTATATCATCATAAGTCTCGCCTTTCGCCAGGGGTGCATTCGCCATTTGCACATCGCCAGACAGACTCGTATTAACACCATCATCGTGTGCAAACATCAGCTGGGTTGGGGAAAACCCACTGCTTTGATTAACGGTGTGATTGAGACTCCAAACAATTTCATTGAGCCCTTCATCCCAATCAACTTCAGATATTGCACTTGCCTCTATTGCATTTAATAAAGTACGATTCTGCCTTTCAACCTGACCATTCGCCCTTGGTGTAGCAATTGCATTCAACACGTGTTTTACACCTCGCCCCGCCAAAAATTCAGCAAACGCCTTGCTTGTAAACGCCAGCCCGCGGTACGCCAAACGCCACACCCTGCATAACGCCTCTATAACCCTGTATAACGCCTGAACGCCTTAGTCCTGCGCCTTCTCTCGAACTATCACCCGTTCAGGAAAAGACAACCTATAAGACCTATACACCACTGGCTTATCTGTCGTCAACTGTATTCTCATTTCCCCCAGAATAGTCACGCCTAAATCGTCATCGCCTACAGAGAAACAAACCGCCATCTTCTCTAACAACGCATGCAATTTGTGTACATTATCTTTGCCTATATCGCCTACACGAATAGTATTCCACTCAAGTTTAAATAGTGAATTAGATCTTATTTGGCTTACCATAACAGTAACTTCGCCCATAAGGGTGCATCTCGCCATGACGCATCCCGTCTTCCAAATCATCTGTTTTTCGCCTACGTTCTTCACATGTAACTTGGAAGATTCACCGCCAGTCAGTACCTGTCCGCCTATTGCCAATACGGTGCCCTTCTTTTCAAACCGCTTGACAGGTACCCAATACTTTTCGCCTTGTTTTCCGCCATACACCACCACCAATAAGTCTGCCTCTTCGCCAGGATCCATGCTTGTGTCCTCCAAGCATAGCACCTTGCGTAACGCCATCGCCTTATCATCCTCACTGCCCATCTCCACTGCTGGATCAACCCGAGTGAGCTTCGCCTTGCCATCGGTGACCGTCAGTGTAACGCCTGGGGTAGCTAACGCCGGTTGACCTAAAAGAAGATCAGCTCCAAAAAGATCGCAGTCTGCAATTACCGCCTTAACATCTATTGCGATGCCGTCCACAATGATAGGTAATTTTACCTCGCCTTTCACTGTGCACGTACCGCCGCCAAAATCCTGTAAAACCACCGACGATGGATCAACTTTAATATCGTCACCAAGAGTATCGAACATTTCGCGCCTTATAATGCTTCGTTCACTCCCAGTGTCGATATATACGCCTTAAGTTTTACATCACCCTGTATAACCGCCAGTTTTTTTGTATGCATTTTCAACAACATCGACTAGTCTCACCTGACAGTGCTTCGCCTTTGGAATCGCGCCAGATCCGCCTCCTGACGGTCCTCCAATACGACTAGGGCAGTCAAATCTGTCGTGTCCCGCCTTTCCACACCGCATGCACCTTTTCGCCTTAGGTTTGGGGCAATTGCGGCTTAAGTGGTCCCCCATTATAACACCGGATGCCAGCAGATGTACTTGCCACCAGTGTCGATCTTGCCTCCGGCCTCCTCACCTTCGATACCACTGCACTGTAGCTAGCTGGGCCGCCACACCGTTTCAGTTCCATGACCACTAGCTGCATGACGCCTGTATCTGTCAAAATAAGACAAAACCCAGTATACAAGTATACATATATCGCCAGGGGTTGAGCAAGTAAATGCCAGTGCATTCGACTGCAGATCGAGAGGTAGTTCTTCAATCAAGCACGAAAGCGCCTTTGTGCCTGACAGCTCGCACCTCTCAATCAACGCCATTTTGTCGTGGTAATAGTGGGTCATGGTTTCGCCATCCAATTTTCCCCTCGCCATCATGTCTTTGATCAACTGATCAAAATCATGCTCTCGAGGAAACGCCTTCCTCAACGCCACCTTCCAGTTCTCCCACGAGAGGTCATAGTTCTCCAGCCGGTTATACCAGCTCCTTGCCGCGCCTTGCAATTTCGCCTAATGGGTGAAATATGCCCTCTCGTAATCGAACCAGCCATGGATGTCGCGTAACTGATCCACCTTACTTAACCACCTCACTACATTACAATCCTGGCTGTCAGGATCAAAGGGTTCAAGGATTTCACCGCCCGCCCTTGTCCCTGATCCCATACACCCAGAACTGCAAGCAGATCCCGCCTTATCGCTGCAAGCAGCTCCCAACGCCTGAGGAACGCTCTCACCTGATTTAACGCCTTTACCTTTGCCCTTGGTACCGCCTGTACCAACAGCCACCTTTTGTTTTGTCGCCTGTGCCATTTCGGCCGCCAAAATCTGCTGGATGCTAGCTGCTAAACCGCCTTTTAGCAACTTCTGTACCATCGACACAGGTTCTTCATCTGAGACAGAATCGCGCTCGCCTTCGCTTGATTCTGGCTCATTGTCCAGCTCAGGAGTATTCTCCCGGCTGCCCGCCATAGGCTAAAAACACAAAAACAATAACGCCACTTGTTTTATGCTTAATTAACCCTAAAAATAAAACTACGCCTTAATTTGTATCACCCAAAAATCATTGTTTTCGCCTTTTGTTCACTCCACAACACAACACGTCGGTTACCCCGCTTCTGAACTGTAAACACGCCTTTATTCAACTAATTAAAAACAATTTAAACGCCTAATAATAGTAAAAATATCACCAGTCCGCCAAAATGATTCGTCCCCCGCCGACGCCGATAGATAGCTTCTCCCGCCCGCCAGCTGACTGGTATCCCACCATCGCCTCCCGCGCCGATCGTTCCGGAGCTTGCAGCGTTGCCGATGCTACTTCGCCGTGCCCGTCGCCACGTTGCCATTTTCCTTCGCCTCGGAAAAATCACTGGTTACAATACATTTGTTTTGGTTTGGTTTGGTTTGGTTTGGTATTTTTTTTTGGTATTAGTGTTTTCATTTTATTTTTCAAATACATTCCTTTTATTTCAAGCCTTTCTATTTATATTTTCAAATGCAATGTTTAATGTTTTATTAATATGTTACTTTATTTAAAGCTTGAGTTGATTTTAATCGAATAGGATCAGTAGGTACTAACAATTTAAATTAAATAAATATCAAATTTATTAGGAAAATAACTTTATTTCAAAATTAATCTTTTGGTGATAAGTATATAGGTAAATACAATTGTATTGAATGTCTTCCAAAATAAAAAAAAATAGATATAAGGGTATCCTGGTGAATTTTGTCTAGTGACGAATGGTTATTTGGCAGTTCTTACTCCAGGACATTTTTTAACCCTAGAGCCGTTAAACGCCCCTCCGGAAGATGATCTTTCCAGGATAAAATTAAATCATCTCTCTCGCTGGCAGTTGATATCACGCTTGCACCAAAGCTTTTGGAGCCGATGGTCTAAAGAATACCTTCAAACACTTTTACAAAGAGCTAAATGGAATGACTCTACTATTTCAATAGAAATAAACTCGGTTGTTTTAATAAAGGATGATAATCTAATTCCGCTCAAATGGAGCATTGGAAGAGTCTTAGAGATTCACCCGGGCCATGATCGTGTTACACGCGTGGTTACTTTAAAAACAGCAAAAGGCATTCTTAAAAGACCAGTGACAAAGATATGCCCACTGCCTTACTGCAAATCTCAAAAGTAAAATTTACTCTCTAAAAAAAACATAATCGCAAAAAAAACATCTCAAAATAAACATAATTCGCATCTCTTATTTAATTACTTTTCTCTACTCTATAACAAATGTAAACTTCTTAATATTTAATTAAATTACACTCATACATTAACCCTAATAATGCATTTTTATAAATTTCCTCTAAATTTAACTCCATAAATTTCACTCTTACTTTCTTTTAAACATAACGCATTTTTTTACTTTTTTATTTTTTTTATTTTACTTTACTATTCTCAAACGAAAATGGAAAATATTTCATTTTGGTGGGCGGTATGTTGGATTCTATCTCTTCCTCTCATCCTTTACCCGAAAAACCTGAGTGGGTACGTAGTCGTAGTCGAGTACGCAGAGTGACAAGAACGGCCGAGTACACAGTGTACACCTCCAAGCGCGCGCTATCCTCAAGTGTTTTATAAGCAAAAAAATCAACAAGTACGAGTCCAGAACGGGAATAAAGGTGAGTGCCCACAGTCCTGATACATTAACTCACCCTAATGAACTGAGCCCCTTAATTCTCGCCCGTAACAAATATATTTTCCAAAAATAAATTATTCCGATCGGCTCTTTCTCTTACAGCCTCGCAAAACTCCAGACGTCTGTTACAATTTGCTGAAAAAATTTCTTGCGTGGTACTGATTTTGTAGGACTTATATCCATGCTTTTTTAAAACCCTGCGCACCGCTCGAGTATTGCAACCAACTTGTTCAGCTATATTTCGGCTTGAACAAGGTTCGCTTGTTTCGACCGCGGCACAAATATTAATTTCCTTGTCGGGAATCACCTTCTCTGCGCCTTCCTTATTGTCACAATTTCTGCACGCCGCAATGCAGCCGGTTTGCTCAAATTTATGGACAATATTGCGTACAGTTGTGGCACAAGGCACAGGGCGATCTTCAAAGGTGAACATACAAAACGCCCAATAACCTCTTCCACGCTTGAGGAAATGTAAAACCATTTAACGATATGCACCTTCTCTTCGGTCGTATAAATAGCCATTTTTGAATCACTTAACATACACACCGAAACAGCTAGGCGAAAAGAATGATGCAAAAATAGTTTGGATCTCAGGTGATCTATTTCCTTTCCCCACCCTTTCATCTACATAAAGGTGCGTATTCACTATCCGAACGAACGAATGCTACTATCCAACGAGCGAACGTCCACTCTTGCTCGCGCGGTTCTATAATTCTCATTCGTTTGCGAACGTCTCTGATGTACCGACTGGAAACGGATGATGGAGCGAACCGAATGGCGAACGGCCGCATGCATTCGGTTTGCTGTTCAAATATACCGAATTTCATTCCTTTGTTCTTTCGGATAGTGAATACGAAGCTTAACATAAAGCACCGCCCCTCTCAATGCGTACTCCCACCATGCTTATGCTTTACCTTGCCCACACCCGTAAATACCGGCAACACTATCTCGGTCGCACCGGCCCATCACCGGCCCCTTTTGATGCTGTCTTTTATAGTATGAACCGGTCATTTATAGTATTCTCTGTCTTACACGTTAAATACAGACCACACTTCTGAATTGTCCCGATATGTATAGGTGTGAGTCGTTAAGGCAATCTAGTAAGTCGGAGTGAGCAAAAATACGAAGTATTTATTACATAACTACTTAATCTGATGTTAGATTAAATGCGCTTGGGAAAATACTCGCCTTCTGTCTTTATTCAGTACATCTTATTTTACTAAGCGTGTTGACCGTACTCTTTGTACACATGAAAACCGGCACCCAAGACCAGAAATGCCGACCCTGAGTATGTATATAGTATATAAAACTATTTTATAAATGTTTGTAATGACACTTATTTAGATTAAAAAACTAAAAATAGAAGTTTTATTTGACTATTTTTCATATCTAGCTTTGTTTTTAAAGAACAAATTAAACCCTTTTGAATGTCACCAAATTTGTTAAAATCGGTCAAGCCAAGAGTAATGTAGTATTTTTAGACGATGAATCTCTAGGGCGTTAAACTCAATGATTGCACAAAAATACGGTAAAAGGGGTTTATTTGGCGTAAATCGAGAACAAAATACAAAACAGCTGTTTACGTCAGGCGCACGCGGAACAAGTGAATGATCGGCGGCTGACATGCTTCAGCGAGCATTGTGCGTCGACGGTGGCGCCCTCCCACCGATCGTCGCTGGTCACTTGCCGAACTACGGCCAATACTCGCGATCCCTATTATGCGAGCGACCAGGAGCGCGAGTGATGACTGGTGATGCTAACACGGCCAATCCTGACACTTCGACGTCCCGACGATCATTGAGGTCCAACAACTCACTCTGAGAATCTATATTTTCATCCAGAGAACCACATTCTTTAACAAACACAACTTGGTTTAACATAATCAACGACATCGTACTACCGCCGCGCCGCAGGAGACTTAAACAACACGTCACAAGAGCGATTATTTACAAATCACAACATTTCGGCCCATAAATTGTCTCAAAACTCAACATAATAAAACAGTTCGATAATCATCTAAACCCAACATTGACTCAGAGGCTGAGCCCATTAACATGACCTCGTCGTTTCTAATGCAAAACGCGGGTTCAGCGGTTAAGGCGCACCAGCATGGAACAATCGAGACTAGATCAACTCAAAATATCAACTTTAAGTATAACTTAGTACAGTTTAAACACAGATTCAGAGGCTGAATCCTGTGGCATGGCTACGACGTTTCTAACGCAAAACACGAGCTCAGAGACCAAGGCACTTCAGCATGATCAAAACATCAATATATCAAAACAATTCAACAAAGTTTAATGATACAACACTGAGCCCATTAACATGACCTCGTCGTTTCTAATGCAAAACACGGGTTCAGCGATTAAGGCGCACCAGCATGGAACAATCGAGACTAGATCAA